AGCCAATTATCCGACCAGAAAACTAGCTGGCAGAAGGAAAAGTGGTCTCTAAGGAGAAAAAGTGGTCTCCCACCCTTGTACCACCTTCCAAACAAGGAAAACAAGGTTTGTACGAAAAACAATCCAAAACGGATGCAAGACGAGAGATCGGGGGGCAAAGCACGCGACTGAAAGCCCCAAAAACTAGCTGACGAACACCAAAAGTGGTACGCAATCACAAAAGTGGTCTCTCAAACCACAGTGTTCCTCTAGGCAGAGGCAACAAGGTGTGGTTCAAAAACCACGCCAAACGGAGAACGTTAAGCGATCCCAAGACAAGACACGCGACCGAAGGCTCCAAAAACCGGAAACTAGTCTCCAAATGGGAAAAGTGGTCTATGACCACAAAAAGATGGTCTACAAGACCTCTCCCTCCCTTCGGGGAAGAGAAACAAAGTCCAGTCCACAAACTGAACCGAAGCACAAAAGAATTCAGAGGCCCGAAGGCAAGGCCCTCAGCCAAAACTCCGAAACCTCTAAATGAGCACAACATGCACCATCACCGAGTGCTCAATTGATGACGTCTGAGTCTTAAGGTCGGTCAAAAATGAGGTGTCTACAGGTACCAATGGAGAAGAAGCGGGAGTTGATCCAAAATAGCCTGAAGCTCTGCTTGAGCAATGGGGTTGAGAATATGACCCTGAGTCATAATGTCACAGTCTCATCGAAAGTTCTTGAGAGGAGTCATATCTCCAAGAACATTGAAGGGTAAGTGAAAAAAGGTTGCAAGTAGAAGTTGAGCTTGGTATGACTCAAATATAGTTGGAAAATCTGGAGGTTGGTAGGAAGGAATAAACTGATTCTCGAAGGGAGTAAGTTTCAGTTTCTCCATCTAGTGAGGATTCTGAGGAAGAGAAGGCGCATGAGGGTCCATCGCAAAGGAAGAGGGGAACTGGGGATTATTCACACTTCAAGCTAGTCAGAAGAGCAAAATTTTGCCTTCTTGGCCAAGAATGACAGATTGTATCCTTGTGCTTCCTCTGGACAAGGAGTTGCTCACACTATCTTCGTAGGCATGAAAGATGTGTACCAAGCCACAAGTAAGTTGTCCTCCAGACTGCGTCAGTGATCAATGGGTACATAGGGGTAAACCACTGAGCTCCGAGCAGAAGGAGGAATAGATAGAGGATCAACGAATTCGACGAATCGATGGTGAATTCGCTCTTTTAGTTTGGATTCATCAGGTTCTGGCCAGCTTCCCCAACCAATAGACCTAGAGGAAGAAAGAACAGCTGTGTCCCATACAGAGGGTGGTGGGGCAGAGGAAGAAGCAACCGTGTCCCATGTAGAGGATGGTGAGGCAGAAGAAGAGTTTCCAAGATCCATTTTTGCAAATGCATGATCTAAGGGTTCGTAGTTGACAAACTTTTGGTCTAAAGGTTGGTACGTTGCATAACTTACATAAATAGAGGTAGATAGGTGTAATCAATAAATGCATTAAGATTCTTTCGAGGCCTATAATCATCTTCCATAGACTCCTCGTATGCTCGATCAATGTAGGAGAATGTGTGATTGGCCATTGCGGATGTACCAGTCTTTTACTCTTTTCAAAGAATGGAAGTGCAAGATACAAGGACTTAATGAAGTTCACAGCTTCATTATTCAAAAAGCAGTTATGCTACCAGAATAAACAGAGTCCATGCACATCTTAGAACGTAGATGGATTGCATTAGTTCACTAATATCACCAAGTATTGGGTATATTAGTGTGGGGGGTAATGTTGACTGCATATTTTGTATAGGCCAATCACAGCTTAACACGTGGCAAGATGAGGGCAACACGATGAGTTAATTCAAGTCTTTAATCGAAATCAGACACATGGCAGTTAGCATTAGTAATCATGGATCTGCGTAGTACTGGATTAGCGGAAAAATACAAGATGATGTAGCCTAACGGTTACTCACAAAGTTTAAATTCAAAATCAGGAAGGAAGCCTAACTGCAAGAGTGGCGTAGTGGGACTGACTGTGAGAGAGCATATTCAGCAATCATGGGAAGATATTTCGACGGTTGAAAGCCCACTTCGACGGTTATCGTTGGAAAGTATAAATAGTAAAGAAGGCCCTAGAATGAAGGATCTAGACTCAGATCAGAAAATCAGTTTATTTACTTCGTTTTTACTTCCAATTTTTACAGTTCTTTACATTTCTGCACTTCAATTCTTGTATTGCACTTCATTCCTAGGAGTTGTTTCACATAGCTTGTTGTTGTAAACCTCTACGAGGCTGGGTCAGATCATTATAAATTTTTCATTTTACTTAATGAAATTTAGATTCTGAAATTATTCTTCACCTGTTGTTATTTACTAAATTCCCAAAAAAAAGCCACTAGCAAAAATCCTCTTCATTGAGGTTGAGAAAACTAAAACACAATCGTCTGATAATCGGTTGGCAATTAATATTCTATAAAGATTGATTGATTCTTATGGGCACGTTTAAAATTATATCATTAACATTCAAAAGCCAAAAAAAGCCAACAAATAGAAAAAAAATGCGCGTACAAAATTAAAGAGACTAGGCCAAGTTTGGGAAGACTAAAAAAGTGCACTTTTTGTCTTTTTGGACTAAAAAATTAAGGTTGAAAATATGGATGTTTGGGTTAACTTTTTGACTTTTTATTGAAAAATGTGTAATAAAAAATTGTAAAAATTGATTTGTAGAGAAAAATTTGAATTGGGAGTTGTGCAGCCGTAATTGTTGACTTTTGGTGAATAGTATTAACTTTTTAACTTTTTGAGTAACTTTTTGACTTTTTGACTTTTTTTAAAGTCCCCAAACTTAGCCTAAAATACAATTTGAATGAACTATTAAAATTACTAATGTAATTTATTCATTTTTGTTTCTCACGGGGACTTCACGTGAATTACAAGTATTTTTTATTTTTTATTGTGTAAAATGTTAATAGCAATTGTCAAATGGTCTACAGTATAAAGTTTAAAGGGTAAATTACATTTTTCTCCCTTTATGTTTGACAACTTTTTTTTAATTTGGCTCTTAAAGTTTTGTATTTTCCACTTTAACCCTTAATAGCCTATTTTGGCAATACAGTTAAAAGTCATCTTATTAAGTGTGTTTGGTTTGAATTTTTTGAATTAAATTTTTTAAGAATTGAGTATTTTAATTTTTGTGTTTTTTTTATTTTTAGTGAATGTTTTTAAAATTAAATTTTTTTTTTTACTTTTTTAGATGCACCTTATTTAGATGTATCTAAAAAGTAAAAAATTTATGAAAAAATATTTTAAAAATTAATAAATACATAAAAATACAAAAAATGTACTGAATTCTCATATTTTTTTTATATTTTTGGTATTTAGTGAATTTTTAAAAGGTTTTTTTCATAATTTTTTTTACTTTTTAGGTATATTTATGTTAGGTATGTCTAAAATTAAAAAAATTGCTTAAAATATTAAAAAAAATTTAGTAAAAACAAAAAAATACGAAAAATAAGAAAGTAGAATTTTCTGAAAAGTATTTTTGGAAAACTCTAACCAAGCAAAGTGAAGGTTTTTTGTTTTTTGTTTTTTTTGGTTACATCACATCTTTATTTTTTTTCACATTTTTCAAAGAGAACCAAAAAAAAAAAAAGAAAAAGAAAAAGTAACCTACTTCTTAAAGTAGGGTTTTAAGTTGGAAGATTTAGCCAAAACTCCTCAATTTGACCATTGTTTTATGATAATGACAATCTAATTTATTTTATTTCATAAATTCCTTAAGGAGAACGGGTATAATTGAGTAAGGACAAAGTAAAATATATATTTTTTTCTTTGACAATATTGTTAGAATAATGTTTACATAAATTTCGACGGTAATCACTCTGTTTGGTTTCAGCTTTTAGAATTTACTATTCAGAAAAATCTATTTTTTTGTTCTTCATTTTTTTTTCACTGAATTTTTTTTTAATATTTTAAGCAATTTTAATTTTTTTTATACATACTTAACATAAATACACTTAAAAAGTATAATATTCGTGAAAAAACTTTAAAAACTCAACTAAATACAAAAAATATAAAAATTCAGTATATTTTTCAAATTTTTATGTATTTAGTAATTTTTTAAAATATTTTTCATAAATATTTTACTATTTAGATTCATCTAAGTAAGATGTATCTAAAAAAGTAAAAAAATTGTTAAAATTTTTAAAAATATTCACTAAAAACAAAAAATACAAAAAATAAAAGATTCAATTTCTAGAAAACTAAAATCAAACACACTAAATATATATTTTTTTAAAGAATTTCATAGTCAACATGGATATTATTTGATAGATTTTTGTGCGAGGAATTCAAAAAATACTAATTTTATGAAAAATCGATATTTAGATCAAAAGTTATATTATTTTAAAGTTTAATATTTTGGTAATAGTGGTGCGTTGGATTTTTTAAGATATTTTATTTTATTTTATTATTATATTTTTTTTTGTGATTGTCTTTATTGCATTAAAATTTTATTATAAGGGAGTTTTGACAAAATTTTCATTTTAAGTTTTCTCAATTTATCTTAAAGCAAACTTCTACTAAAAACTAGTCAAAAAATGTCACAATAACTATTATTTAACATAAAAAAATATATTATTATATCAATATTTGAATTTGTGTTAGAGTTGTAAATTATATATAATAAAATATTTGTATGGCACGTGATTTTTAACGTGTAATTTTTTATTTTTCCTTACAAATGTTAGCTTTAGGAACTTGAAGCATAAAAGGCTAGAATGAGAAAAAAAAAAAAAAATCAAATTTGAAGGATAAAAATCAAAAAAACGAACTAAACACAAAGGGGATAAAGTATAATTTACCTAAGTTTAAATTAATGAAATTAAAATTAGGATTACGGAAAAAATGAAATCCGCTCAAATTAGGGGGACCATGGGCCACTAAGTTGGTCCTGCAGGATGGGTTGAAAGTGGCCCAACACTGAAGAACAAACTGGAGTCCAACATATACATATATACACATGTATAAACTTTCCTCAATCCCCCATTTTCGCGCTTTTTGGGTTTCTTCGTCTTCCTCAACACGCAAAACAGGACCATAGAGAATGGCGGAGAGCGACAGCTATGAAGTCACTTCTCGGCCATGGCAGTCTTATCACACTGTTTACACCAACGCCAAAGCAGGTACATACAAAAATTGTACGGATTTGTTAAATTTTAGGTATATTTATTGGTAATCTACAAGATAAACCTGCACAATAGTTTTTTTTTTTTTTTGTTTTTTTTTGAATTTTACGAATCATGTAACGTTCATTGGTCTGATTCGTATACAGGTTTCATTTTTGATGTCGATTTCACTATTTTAGAAGAATCTAATGATTTTGAGAACTGTTGTTTTGTATTGTAATCTTGAACTGGAAAAGTTGGTATTGAGGAATTTGAGTGACATTTTTGGAATTTGAATAAAAAAATCATGAAAATACGATACATGCCATCGTGATTCTGGCTTTTACGCGGCTTTCAATTGTGATATCGACTTCTCTCTCTCTCTCTCAGGGCAAAAAAAGTATATAACTGAGTTTGAGGACTGTTGTTTTGTATTATAACCTTGAACTAAAAGACTTGGACCTTCATTGGTTGAATTTTGAAAAATTAGAAACTAGTTTGATAAAAATAATCCCCCCCCCCCCCATTTTTAAAAATTATTTTTGACCCAAATAATAATAAAATCTGCCCCAAAAAATAAGGAAATCATATGAAATATAATGAGTTTTTTTATTTTTTCATTCTTTTCACCAAACTAGTTTTTGAAAATTTTTCTAAGAACAAATTTGAAAACTCAACCGAACAGCCTTGGCTTGAGCGAGATTTTTGGAATTTGAATAAAAGATCATGAAAAGACAATACATGCCATATTTTTTCTTGATAAATAAGCAAACTTTATTAGAAAAGTATCAATATGATGCAAAGAATACAAAATTCAGACCCCCAAGAGGAAAAATGATAAAATATCAAACCCTCCACAAAATCTTAAAAGCCAAAACATCTGGATTAATCAACCCCATAACCCAATTATAAAACACCATAAGCAACTACCTCTCCATCCAAGAAATCAAATGAGACACCCCTTGGAATATATGCCTGTTACACTTCAACCAAACAAGCCACATTAAACAATGAGAGGCAAACATCCATGCCTTCCGATGCCTCCTCCCGGCCCTACCCCCAGCCCAGCTTTGTAAAATAGCCAACACAGAGCCGGGTTGCATCAAAACCAAACCAAACCAAACCAAAAGTCGCAACAATAAACATCCAAAGCCGAGGAGTAACTGGACAATAAACAAACAAATGATCCACTGACTTCGTGTTGCCATGACACAAGCAACACCAATTCACCAAGATATGTCCACGCTGCGTTAAGTTATCAATTGTCAAAATACGACTTAAAGTAGTTGTCCACACAAAGAAAGTTACCTTGGAAGGCACTACTAACACCCAGACACACTTCCAAGGGAACAAAAACGCTTCGTCCTGAGTAAGTGCACCATAGAACGAGGACACAGAAAAGAGCCCCTTAGAGCCTGGATAAGCCCAAACCATAGAATCCTCCCCTGCACTCCCAACTTGCAACCCGCATAAAAAGCCCAACAACTTCATCAACTGATCAACCTCCCAATCCTAAACATCTCGACGTAGCCGCACATTCCAAACCATTGTCTGGCCCTGTCCACTCTGAATTCCCCCCACCATAATTTTGCAATCTTCTGCAATCCCCAAAATTAAAGGGAGCAACCGCTCTAAAGGAGTATCACCACACCACCTGTCATACCAGAAACGGACTCAGTCGCCCACCCCAACCTACAGCCGAATCCTCCGCCAAAACCCCTCTCTCCCCAACCAAATTCATTTCCCAACTCCACAACCATGGGACTGCCCCCCCCTAACCGAGCACCACCCCCCTCTCCCCACCCCAAACTTCGCCACAATCACCTTCCTCCATAAATGTTCCCTCTCCTCCACAAAACGCCACAACTACTTACCCAACAAAGCCAAATTAAACATAACCAACCGACAATACATGCCATATCATCTCAGAATAAACAAATTCATGGGTTGGCAAGGAGTTGCTTCAGTTGAGGTTCGAGATGGGTACTAGTTTGTTAGAATATTCAATTGACCAATGTGTTTTCTTTGATGTTTTTGTGTTTTTGCTTCAGTCTAGGTTGGAATCTTTCTTGCACTTGCCTTTGGAAGTTATTTTTGTTTTTGATGTGTCTGAGGACATACTACGAAAAGATTCCCTTGTGATGTTGCAGGAATGGAGGGGGTAGACAAGGAAAAAGTGCAAAGGATTGTCTATGAAATGAGCAAAGGGTCAAAGTATTTTGAGAACGAAGAGCGCAAGGAGGCATTCATAAAACAGAAAATTGAAAACATGCAGGCTCAGTGTGCAAAGCTCACAGCTGCTGAAATATCTCATTATCAGAAGGTATTAAGAAAATGTATACGTAGTTCTTGATTTTGCCATGATAGCAATGTACTTTATCATGTGGAAACCTGAATTTCGTTTGTGAATCAATTTCACAATCACATACATACCATGCCCTGGTAAAACATAGTAGATAGATTCAGGGATACTAGCCTCTATGAATGAGAGGAAGCGAGATAAAGAGATATTTCATTTGGTACATAAGTGATCTCCAGAGAGAAGATCATAAATTGATAACATTTTATATTTTTATATTTTTTTAATGTTTACTCACTTTTTGTTTTTTGTTGTTCCCCCATAACCGTGTGCAGAGTTGCAAACTGGAATAATAACTAACTCTTCACTTGCAAACATAACACTTGCTCTTAAGTGCTTCTTTCGTCCTCAAGAAAAAAATTATTCTATGTATGTATTGAAACCAAACTTGTGTAAAGTTTCCTGTAATGCTGTACAATTAGTTATTTACATTATTACATGCTGTGTGCTAATCCACTTAGAAAAAAGGGAACCACATATTAGATCTACAAAATAGAGGGACAATTATGGTGAGCGTATGTTGTGCATCTATTCAGCTTATCACTGGACCTGGAAGTTTGTCTCTTAATGATGGGTCAAAGAGTTGGAAACAATGGATTAAGACAATTCTATTGTGTAACTACTTTAGGAGCATCTCAAAAGAAAAGTGTCATACTTTTACCCTGTGTAGAATGTACATCCTTCATCATAGAAATGGTATACTTGAGTTATCCCAATTCCTTGACTATGCCTGTTCAATGTCATGTAATGTGGATAATTTGGACTTTATAAATTCTCCATCCCTTAACAAATTAACCAATTGAAATGTTTAAAAAGCACATCATGAGGTAGATCGATTCTATTATTCTTGGAAGCTATCCATAATTTTTATGGTTGATGAGGATAGATCTTGTCAAAGGAAATAATGCTATGAATTGTTGTGAATCGAGGATGAGAAGGAGAAATACACTAAAAATATTGATGTAGACGTCATCAATGCCTAATTTGGTATTTCTAAATCATATTGCATAAGTTCTATGAGTATATATGTTAGTTTTGATAAGGCACTTACCATTCGTTTTTATGGTTTATGAAATTTATAGGTTGCCGATAAAAGAATTTTAGAGCTAGAAGCTACTCGTGATCTGACTAGGATTTGGCTACACGTAGATATGGATGCTTTTTATGCAGCTGTTGAAACATTAAGCAACCCTTCATTAAAGGGCAAACCAATGGCTGTTGGCGGCATGTCTATGATATCCACTGCTAATTATGAGGTTTGAATTACTAGCAGTGTGTCCTATGGGGATCATGGATAGTTTTTTTGCCAATTGCTAGTGTTCTTTTATGTTGTTGTGGATACTCTTTGACATGAGATTTTTTTGCACAGTCCCATTTATGAAAATATCTTGATCTGTAACTCATACCTCAATCAAAGATGATTTGTACACTATGTAGGCGCGGAAGTTCGGGGTTCGTGCTGCAATGCCTGGTTTCATTGCACGTAAATTATGTCCACAGTTGATTTTTGTCCCCACCGACTTCAAGAAGTATACTTATTACAGTGATTTAACTAGAAAAGGTTAGTTATTGTCTTTTGAGGCAATTTTTTTTGGGATGCAGAAGTGGGTAACTCATGCTAATGAGCTTCATTTGGATGTTATCTTTCGAATAGTTTTCCAGAAGTATGATGCCAACTTCATGGCTGCTAGTTTGGATGAGGGTTACCTTGATATTACAAATGTCTGCAAAGAAAGGGGCATGACAAGTGGAGAAGTAAGTTGGAACATAAAGTAAACTACATCCATATGAATCAATTTCTTTCTTGGGTTAGCAGTTATATAGCATTTCTACAGTCTTTGTTTGTCATTGATATGGTTTCCCTTTTCACTTCCTCTTGCTGTTGTTATTCCTTTGTGAAGGTTGCCGAAGAACTTAGAAAAGGTGTTTATGAAGAGACTGGTCTCACATGTAGTGCTGGAGTGGCACCAAACCGCTTACTTGCTAAGGTTCTGTTACTTTCTATATGCTATTTGCTGAATATAATTTGATATTAGCAGATTATTTTTGTACCATTTACTCAATGGATAACACATACATTTTTCAAGAACATCAGCATCCATTTTGCTCATTGAAAATTGTTGGAAGTTCGTAACTAACATGATGGATGTGACACATGTAAATTATTATGATGCATTTTGATTCTGCCACTGTTACTTCTATAGGCTTTTTTCCTGGATAAATTTTTTATCTTAGTAGGGAAATTCTGCACCATTTACTCTTTAACACATACACACTCATCATTCATGAACACTGAAAGCATTTTGGCCCTTGGAAATTTTTTATATAGTGAGAGATCTGTCAATCAAATCTGAATTTTACTTATATCCGGGGGCTAATTTCATTTTTCAGAAACGGAGACTATTGATAGGGTGTAGACAACCTAATCTGAAGTCAGAATTTGGTGAACTGGTGCTGCATGTGCAGGAGGGAGAGTAAATCAGTGAACCATCTTTTAATTCATTGTCAAGTTGCTCAAGAGCTTTGGTTCTCGGCTCTCTCTTGGTTTGGTGTCAGGTGGGGGTGATCCCTCTAGGTGTAGAGGATCTTTTGCGTTGTTGGCATGGAGCTAGGGTGGGGAAAAGAAAAAAGGTGGTGTGACGTTTGATTCCTCTTTGCATTATGTGGATCATTTGGGGATCATGAAATCATAGGTCGTTTGATGGTAGAGAGGCTCATTTGTATAGGCTCAAAAGTATACAGTATACTTGTAAGTATAGTTGGGAGTTGCTAACCTTGACAAATTTTTGGACTTCAAGAGCTTTTCGACATTGATGGATGTGTATAGAGATCTTTTTGTTTTATGTTTTTTGGTCCTTCTATCTAGGGTGATTCAGATGTTTATTTCCTTGATGATCCTTTCAGTGCTGTTGATGCACATACCGGGGCACACTTATTCAAAGGCAAGCAACACCTCTTCATAATAATTGTTTTTAAATTATGTGTGATTTTATATTTTTTGCTTATACATTTAGATCCATTTATTAAGAACTTGAAACTTAATTTGCAGACTTCAAGAGCTTTTTGACATTGATGGATGTGTATAGAGATCTTTCTGTTTTATGTTTTTTGGTCCTTCTATGTACTTGAGTGGCATTGTAGTTCCTTTTTGAATAAAAATTCATTAGTTATTAAATAAAAGACAATGAACACGAGCCATTTACTTCATTATTGGTGCTATGTTATCTAATATGAAGCATCTACATTACTATCTCTTTCCAATATTGGCTGCAGTTATGAATGAGTACGATTGATTGGAAATGATCTAGATAATCTTTTTGACAAAGAACTGATTTCTAACGGAATTTGAAATCTCTCTTCCTTATTTTTTCCCCTTTTATCAGGTTTGCTCAGATATTAATAAACCAAATGGCCAGTTTATTTTACCAAATGACAGGATGGCTGTCATGACATTTATATCCTTGCTTCCCATACGGAAGGTATTTCTCTTTCTTGTGATTTATCTTAGCCAACTGGCAGCATTAGTTTTGGAAGAGCTGTTGCTACTGAATTGATATTTTTGATATTATTGGAAAGCTGCCAACATAATATATGTTCTTGAGTGAGAAACACTTTGAAGATCTATTTCAGATTGGGGGCATTGGTAAGGTCACTGAACATCTTTTAAGGGATGTTTTTGGAATTACAACATGTGAGGAGATGCTGCAAAAGAGTGGTTTCCTTGGTGCACTATTTTCTCCTTCATCAGCAGGTTTGTACATTGATTGGTCCTTCTACTGCTTCTTTTTTTATTTATTTAAATTTTCAGTAGAGAGGTCACCCAAGGATGGTCATATGATTGTGGAAAGATTAGAACTTAAATGATCTAATATTTACAGTTCTTTGTATTCTTTATGATCAGAAGTCCCTGTTTTGTCCTAAATCTGCTACATGTTATCCATATCCTCTTTTTTTTCAGCATTCAATTTTACTTTCTTACAAGTCATGTGTGAAAGCCCAAGCTTTTACCATTGCACCATTGCCTGTGGGTGCACATAACATAATATCTGTTTCATGATCTTGTAATGTATTATAGATTTCAAGGATCTTGCTGTGGATATATCAAAGAAAAAATTATGTTTGGAGAACTCTTTGAGTTTTGTTCTGTACTCAGCAATAGATCACACCAAATTAAAAAAGGAGCAAAAATAATGAAGTTTGGTTTGCATGAACAAGGGAGAAGCACTCATTTCATTATTAACTCTACATGACCTTGAAAATATACTTGCATTAAGTTCATGTCAAGGGCAAAATGGCAAGTGAAAACCTAAATATAATTTCCATGTGTAAAGAAAAGGATGTAAAAGGAGGGTATTGTGTTATTTGTTGTTAAATAAGGGTCTATTTATTCCGCTCTTTCTTCTTCCGTCTTTGAAGGTTTTCATGCGTGGAACTTTTTTGAAATCTTATTTGTGCTTTATGTAAGGCTTCTATTGTATACCCCACGCATGTGGTGCTCAGTGTACTCATTTAGAAAACTCTCCTGAATTCCTTGTGCTATTTAATCTTTTAAGTACATACCTGAAGAAATTTCCAACTGCATCTAACAATTAAGCACTCCTATAAGAATGGCAGACGACCAGCTCGAAAACAAGAGAGACTGACCACATTCATGAGCTCGTCATTTTGTGGTTATGGCTTTTAAGAGAGATGAGAAGTTCAATCTTATGCTGCACGGTCACAAGAAGTTCAGATTAGCCGCAGTGGCCTGATCTTCTGCCATAATTTGTTAATTTTGCTTTTTTTTTTTGTTGTATTACCATCGGAGAAGATAGTAGGAATTCCCAATTGTGGTTTGGACTAGAACCAAAAGTATTCAGATACATAGTAAGAATATTTATTTTCTCTGGATATGCATGGGCATCTCCTATTTTATTAGCTAATTTTTTTTCAACTCTTTTATTTTTCTAAGATTTTGATGGGTAAATTAGAGAGTGGTGATATGAGCTTTAGTAATAGTGGAATAAATTTTTTGCAGCTTATACGGATGGTTACACATTCTTTCTCTCTCTCTCTCTCTCTCTCTCTCTCTCTCTCTCTCACACACACACACACACTCACACACACACACACACACACACACACACTTGTTCACTACTTGACGTGGAACTTCTGCAACTGTTGACTGAAATTACAAAAGTTGTTCCTGTAGCTGGACTTTCCTATCTAACATATTTTCGAATTTCATATAGAAGAATATATTTGAGAACTTGTTGAAGTTTTTTTAATGCAATGCTGTAACTTTTACATAAATTAGCTACATTTCAGCTTCCTAATATAGTTTACTGCAGTTGTGATTACTTTTATCTTTGTCTGGAAGGAATATGCCTTGTTATATACTATATAGGTCAAATGACATAGCTTTTTGGCCCGCATATGCATAAATTCATTTCTTCTTTAAATCACGAAAAAATATTTTTTTTTGGAAACTTGACAAGATTGAGGGTTTTGCTGCATCACCTGACCAGTTCTCATTTAGAATTTTTTTCATTATTATTATCATTATAACCATCTGTACATTTTATTGTAGATTTTTTCCTCTGTGTGGGTCTGGGACTTGGAAGCACCAATACACCTCAAGTTAGGTTGCGGAAAAGCATGAGTAATGAGAGAACATTTTCGGCCACAGGCGATGAGGCTTTTCTTTATCATAAATTGGGTAATTGTTTCAGATGCTTGATTTTCTTTACAAGGGAGATTCTTTTAGGTGATGCTAATATACTGTGATGTGGAGTTGTTGCTTGTATATTAATCTTATTAAATAATTTTGTTATATTTTTATACTTTATCGGGGAACTTATTTATGATAGGTTGACCTTAATTCCTTTTCTTTCAGTACTTGTGGGATTTCAGCCTTCTACTCTAGTAAATGGGCCAGACCAAAAATAAAACACAAACAAAAACTCTAGTAAATGGCAACTTTTGGAATAACAAAAATTTCATCGTAAAATAATCAAGTGAGGTGAACAAAATTTCAGGAAACTGTGGCCAAATATGCTTACCCACTGTAAGAATAATTATCAAATGGTTTATTCTTCCATCTCATTTTGACCAGCTCTTACTTACCTGTGACCTTTTTACTTACTTTCATTTAATGGAAACACCTTAACTTCATTTTAATCATATATTATGTTGAGCATGCCTTTCTTTGTTATTCAAGATTGTTAAAATATATGTATTATTGATTGATATCTTGTTGATCTTCTGTCTATTACAAATGGTTCCTTATATAGATGTAGGTGTAGTGGATTAGGTTTAGTGGAGTAGGTGAGGTGGTAGTGGTGTAGTGGGTTAGGTTTAGTGGAGTAGGTGAGGTGGTAGTGGTGGTAGGTGATGGTAAATTCTAACAGCCCCCCGCAAACTCAAGGAGGATAGAAACTAACCAACTTGAGTTTGAAGAGAGGAACAAAATAATAAAATACATAAAAAAAAAAAGAAGATAGGAGACACTGTATGGCCGTGTCAGACCGTTGGTGAAGACACTGAAAGGTGGTGCCATAACGTGGTAGAGGACACTGGATGGTGGTGTCATAACGTTGTAGAGGACACTGTATGGGGGTGTCATAACGGTGTAGAGTAGAGGACACTGTATGGTTGTTTTGTTTGTTTGGTTGGTTTTTTTTTTTTTTTTTTTGTTTTTTTTTATCTAATTTCATTTGACAGAACCAGAGTAAAATTTTACTCTGGTTTTATTGCTTTGTTTTTTCATTTGACAGAACCAGAGTAAATTTTTTTTTTTTTTTTTTTTTTTTTTTTTTTTTTGAAGAAGGAAGATAAAATAAAATAAAGAAAAGGTAGAGTAGGATCAGACGGTGTGGTGTGAAAGTGGAGAGTATTTGGGTAATATAGTATAATAAAAAGAGATATATAAATATAGTGGGAAGCATAATAATGATCATGGGTCTGAGATCAAGAAAAGGCAATGCTGTATAATAATAAAAAGAAAGGTGAGGTAGTGGATGATTAAAAAAAAAAAAGAATGGTGGGTTTGAGAGTGGAAATAGGAGAGCTTTTCTAAAAGTATTTTTGAATAACTCATTTCTGCCAAGCATAGGTCTGTCATCTTTACGGAAGCCAGCATCACCCGTCATGACTCCATGACCACAGAGCAACACACAACTGTTAGGAGGCAGCGCAGCGGAGGAAGGGGGAGACGAAGACACAGGATGAGCTGTTTTTTAAAAGAAAAGAGAAATAGCTGGGCGGTGGAGAATATTTTAAAATAAGTGCAAAAGCAGAGAACTCCCACTCCTCTTTCTGAAACCCGACAAGCCCATACTCCAATTGCTGGTGATAAATATTCAGAAATGAAGGCCCCTAAGATGAGATCAAACAAGTTCAAAGATCCTGTTAAGTATTGATGGAACACTGCTGACACCAACCGGAGATGATTTCCGGCTTGGCACTGATGTGGAGTTCTTGGGCTGCTGAGAAGACAAAGAAGAAGGTTGGGCGGTGGGTTTATTGCCAGGTTGTGAAGTGGAGGTCGATGTCCTCGGGCGTCCACTGGCACCACCACCATTGGAGATGGAAGTTGTGGGAGACCCAACCACCATTGGAGGAGATGCAGAGGACTGATGGCTATGGCTATGGCTATTCGGACCTTGTGGCAGAATCTTGAGTCTTCTTGAGCCAGTGAGGGCTTTAACAGAAAAGCATTATTCATCTCTCTCCCCACCCCACCCTATATTCCAGTAGACTGGAGTTGTAGTCAAGCTGTGATGGTGATGAAGAAGATTCTGGCGGACTAGGTTGAGGTCCGGCGGGCGGCCAAGGCGAGGTTGCCGCCCGCCGGTTTATTTATTAATTGATATATTACAATTGGTTCCTTATATAGATGTAGGTGTAGTGGATGGTGGTAGTGGTGTAGTGGGTTAGGTTTAGTGGAGTAGGTGAGGTGGTAGTGGTGGTAGGTTTATGGTAGTGGGTTAGGTTTAGTGGAGTAGGTGAGGTGGTAGTGGTGTAGTGGGTTAGGTTTAGTGGAGTAGGTGAGGTGGTAGTGGTGGTAGGTGATGGTAAATTCTAACAAAGATGATAAATCTGTGCATGAGGGCTACACTTTGAAAATTATGTAAGTTATTTGGTGTAAGAAAATTGTAGGTATATTTTTTTTTTTTCAACTTCATATTTGTCCTCCATGTAGGGCCACACCACACTCTCACTGAATTCATATCCCAACATATGTTTTCTCACTACATTAACTCTCTTTGGTCTTCCCTATGATGCATAGGATACCCTTTTGGAAGTTACAATGTCAGCTTCTGTTCGGACTAAAGTATCCACATCTAAAGCGCAGACATATCACACTGCTCTACTGGAATGTGTTGTTTTCATCATTGTTTGACTTTCTATGGTTCTCCAATGCACAGAAACAAACTTTAAACTGAATGTAGTAAAGCCCAATATATTAATTCACAACAAACACAATTATAGTCGGGCCATTTATCTAGCTTCTCAAGATTTGCCATGTCTAGTACCACATTTGAAATGCAACCTCATATATATGTCCATAAAGCATGAGGTCCTCTTATTCTTCATCCTTGCAGTGCCTTTTAACTTTAATTGAGTCAGTCTTTCTTACTGGTTATTTAACTAAGTGATGAAATTTTAGCCAGTTGGTATCCTTTTTTCGGGTGGTAATAGTTTTTTCTTTAATCTGATCTTTGCATTTATCTTAGTTTAACCCCTGATTTCTTTGTTGGAACTTCAGACATGTGTTTCTAGTTGCAGGCTGGCTTTTAAAGTTTGATACTGATTTTCTATTCTGAGCTGAGACTCTGTTTTTAGGGAAACTTGACTCTATATTTGTTGTTTTCTTCACTTAGTGGAGCTTTCAGATCCGTAGTTGCTTACTATTTTCTCTTTAGAAGCTTTCTGTGTGAGGGGTTCGTTTCGTATCATTTTGCTCTAACCTCACACACAATAATGATTTTGGAAATTCTTCAGTGCACTCAAGTTTTGTTTTATTGTGGATGCCCATTATTTAATCCTATTGTCACTGTGAATTGATGCATGCAAACAGATTTTATATATTATGAGAACACTCCCCATTTCAGAGGGCTAACCTTTACTTTCTTCTTCTTCTTTCTCTCTCTCTCTCTCTCTCTCTCTCTCTCCCTTTTCATGTAATAATAGGCCACCTTGGTTTTCTGTGTCTGTTATTGCGGCCAACATTTTTCATTCATGAGTTTAAAAATATGCCATCCACAAGTCTAAGCCATTTCAACTTTTTGTTTGCAGCGGATCTTGCAGAGATGCTCTCTGCTGACATGAAAAAAGAAGCTCTTTGTGGGCGAACATTGACGCTAAAAATGAAAACTGCATCTTTTGAGGTACTTTGTGATCAAACTATGTTCTGTTGTATTTATTTATTTTTTGTGGCAAGTTTCTGTGTGTAATATGAATCCCTGACAAATGTATGAATAGGTTGTCAATTGTTATGTCTCTTTTGTCTGGAGCTTCCTTCCTGTTTTAGTAGTTATGATTTGTTGGATCTTTGTGCTTGCATGTGTACTGACTATTTTGCAATCTCCAGATTCGAACTCGAGCTGTGACTTTGCAAAAATATATTTGTTCAAGTGAGGATATCTTGAAGCATGCTTCAAAGCTGCTGAAGGCTGAACTTCCTATATCCTTGAGACTAATTGGTAGGGCCATGATAATTCATATTTATGTATTACGAAAACGGTTCATTATTATTGTGATTGGTTTTCCTATTCACATCGTCACATGCATTATGTAAAAATTTTTTTTTTAGTTACCAAAGGGAGGGAAGGAAGAGAGAGTGACTTCCCTTCTGTGAGCTCTGATAAATTTCCCACACCACACCCATGTGAGAGAGTGTGTAAAAAAGAGTGTAGAAAATTAGGTACCCATAGCACTGTTGATCGAATTAATTTTGCTGGTTTGATGTCCTTAATTGGTTTCAGCATTCATGTTGGTCTCTATTGAAATTTTGTCTTGAATTCTGATTTATGGGTATTCCTTTTTAGATTTTTCTTGTAGGAGAAGCATTTGGTTTTTTTGCTGCTCCACTCTAATGTAATAAGGTATTTTGTCACAGGCATCTGTTTTATGGGCTTTTAGGAAAATTCCTTTGATTCAGTTGTCTTTCTGAAACCAGCCAGTCCTTGTGTTTTTCTTTTTTAATATTTTCTGCAACAAATTTTGCGTGCTGTAAGATCAACATAATAGTTATTTCTGGTGCGCCAACCTTTTTTCATTTTTTAACCTTCAACCTCTTTGATTTTCTATCAGTCAAAGTGAGTAAGAATATTCAGTTATTAACTTATTTGACTATGCCCAATTAGGATATATACCACTTTTACTTGATAGATTTGGTGTGCATTCTGTAAGTGTTGTGTTTATTTTAAGGGCCTTGTTTTAGCTTGTATCCAATCATGTGAATGCATTTGTCCAAAGCAGATCAACCAAGGATAAGGGGTCATAAATAGGTTTGCCAAACATAAGGAACTTTCTTGTCTTAGAGATCAGTGAATTATAAATGACATAAACCTAAAATAATTTTCCGATTAAAATAATCAAAGTTGTTGATGGAGAAAATAAATCAATTATGTTGATCAAGTTTTTGTTTTGACTGCTGCTCAAAACCATCAGTGTCAATGAGTTATTTCACAGATTAGAATAACAAATTCTAGGGAACTTAGAATTTTATAGGACCTGGGATTATGTAAAATGTGAAGCATTTATGTGCTGTCTTTCCTAATTTATTTGTTTAGTGTATGGTGCATATCACCTCTAACACAAGTATGTATGAATATGATGAAGCAATTATATGTCTTCTGGCAGGACTGCGAATGTCTCAGTTCAACGAAGACAAAGATGGCACTCCATCTGATCCTACACAAAAAACTCTCTCCAACTTCATTGTATCTGGAGTTGCTACCGGAAGAAACATGGATGACCACATATCCTTCGGCTCAGATCTTAGTGACGACCACTTCATAACCGAACCGAAAACTGATCTTCCTATTGACAATCATGAGATATGTTATAACGATTTTAGAGATCCGTTGGACAGCAATGAAGTATCAGATCCTAATAACAGTAACTGCCTTTTAATCTACAACAATGATGAAATGGAGCAAAACGATGGATCACTGAACAGCAAATCTAAAGCCAAGGTATGTACTTTGTATTAAGCCCAAAGATCAATTCATGGTTCATCATCTTGACTGAGAGATTAGTAGTCAAACGACGTGCCTCTTTCATGTAAGTACATTGAATTTCTTATATTTATATTTTAACACGTGTTGCTGTTTTCTCAGGTTAATACACCTGAAATGATAGGACATACCCTAAAGTCTTATGAAGCCGAAGCATCACAATTGGTGAAGATTGACCTGGATACAATGAATAAGAGGACCAACCTTTCAGATGATGCTGTATCTTCATCAAATCAGAACGAGCAATCTTTGTGGGTGGATGACTACAAGTGTTTGCTATGTGGGATTGAAATGCCTTCTAGTTTTGTTGAGGAAAGGCAAGAACACTCCGATTTTCATCTTGCTGAGAGGCTGCAGAAGGAGGAATCCGATAGCAACCCTAGAAGTCTCACACCGAAGAAGAGGTACTGCGTTGTTCCAGCCATATGTATAATAGTTTAAATTTCTCATGAACTGATCTACACAACAAATATTTATATTTCCTCCAAAGACAAAAAAAAAAATATATATATGTATATATATATAACATGAGACTAATTTCTATAGCTTAAAGTAGGAGTGATTAATAAGTATAAATCGACATCATTTTTTATCATTAGATATTATGGCATTTTGTTCATACTTGCAAGTCCCCCAGGTGAGCGAAAAAAATCTGGGTTTAAGTATTTAATTTTTTATTTTTTTATTTTATATAGAAAGTAATTGGACACGTTTGGACTTGTGTCTAACACGGACACACCTTAAAAGTGTCCATGCTTGGTATTGGGCCATGATTTTGGAACAAAATGGATGATTTTAATTTATCTTTTTACAATTGTCGGTGGTGATTACTTTGATCGGGTCGTGATTTTGGAACAAAATGGATGATTTTGATTTATCTGAGACTAATTTCTATAGCTTAAAGTAGGAGTGATTAATAAGTATAAATCGACATCATTTTTTATCATTAGATATTATGGCATTTTGTTCATACTTGCAAGTCCCCCAGGTGAGCGAAAAAAATCTGGGTTTAAGTATTTAATTTTTTATTTTTTTATTTTATATAGAAAGTAATTGGACACGTTTGGACTTGTGTCTAACACGGACACACCTTAAAAGTGTCCATGCTTGGTATCGGGCCATGATTTTGGAACAAAATGGATGATTTTAATTTATCTTTTTACAATTGTTGGTGGTGATTAGTTTGATCGGGTCGTGATTTTGGAACAAAATGGATGATTTTGATTTATCTTTTTACAATTGTTGGTGGTGATTACTTTGAATTCTTCATTTTTAATTTATCTTCATTTTAATTTTATCTTTAGATATTATGGTGGTGATTACAATATATTCCTTAAAATGCTATAAAGACAGATTGAAACAATTTTATATCCATTGGACATCGAAGCTTGCCCTTGGTTAAACTGTTTCCATTTGCCTTGAACGAAGTCAAATTTTGTGAACCAACTTCGTTTTAGAACCACTATTTCTATAGATTCCAAATGCCCTTTGATTGATATGCCTCTATTATTTTGTTTTTCATAGAGATTGGTATGTGTTATGACAGAACTCGAACCTTGTCAGGTTTATTCAGAAAGACCACATTACAAGCCAAAGCAAACGGAAGAAGAAGCACAAGTCATCTCCTGCAGATGGTAAACATATTCCAATTGATATGTTCTTTGTAAAAAGTAATGAAAACTCCAAGCATTGTATATAATTGCTGAAATTTATTATTAATATATATTTTATCTTTTATTAATCTTCGCCCCATGTATAATAATGTAAACGCTACTAATAAAGCTATATTTGTTGATATGTTGAGTTTTCACTAGACATTTTCATTTGTATGTGCATCGTGGTTTGGTTTGAGCTGAGTTTCTTTTGTTGAAAGGATAGTTGTAAAGCCCCAAACTATTCGAAAAGAAGATACGCTCCAGTTCAGGACGTGTTGGATGTTAGATAAATTGATAGAGAAAGAGAGACTAAATTGTGTATTATTGATTGATTTGTATTGATTGATAGCAGGCCTTCGGTAATCTCGGATTACTGGCCGGTTACGGTGCTAAACCCATAGGGCCGGGTTTGGGTCGTGACATGATGTTACCGTGCGTTAAGCACAGTAGCACTTGCTACGCCCCTATGAGGTGCCTTGTTGACCAAACACAAGGCATTGATGTCGTTGCCTACATTAAATAAAAGAACCAAAAAAACTATCCCTTTGCCTTTTCATTTTAAATATTATATTTCTATTATAGATTGTTTTCTATTTAAAATAACAAAATATTTTAGTTTATTATTTTAGAGTCAATTTAATGAATAAAAATAATTTTTAATTTTTAATACATTTCAATTTTGAGGTAGTTGCGTAATTACCCCCCCAAAAAAAAAAATGCTAGTGAGGTGTTTGTTAAAAAACTACATAATAACAAAAAAAAATCACAATTTTAATACACATTTCACATTTGTATATGTTTTTATATTTTTGTACATATCTTAAACTCATTTCTCTCAGTCTCATCATTTCAACTTGAGACAACATTTGGAATTGGTGGGTATATTTTAGGGTAAATTTCGGTGATCCGAATCGTTTATTTTTTAAAATTTATTAAGTAGAATTTTCATGAAAAAGAATTAAAATAATCAAATGTCAATAATTATATTTTTGATACATTTATATTACAAAAAATACATAGTTATTCTTAAATTTATATTTGCCGTTCATTATTTTAAAACAAATATGATTCAAACAAATGACTATTGATATCTAATTATCTTATTTTTTATATAAATATTCTTCTAAACGAGTCCTATAATATGAATATCTTGAATCATCAAGACCAATTTCAAAATGAACTCACCAAATACACGTTCTCTCAAATTTGACGGGCAACTTAAAAAAAATCAACCCTATTTCAATAAAACAATCTATAATATATTATTTAAAATACAAAGGAAAAGGGATTTTTTTTTTTTTTTAAATGCAGCCAAAGACATCAATGCTTTGTATTTTTCAGTCAAAACGGCACTGCATAGGCCTGCAGCGGTTGATGCTGTACGTTTACTCACAGCAGCATCTCCTATCCCGACAAGATGGGTTGACTTTTAATTATTTACATATTTGATGTTGGTAAGTTTAATTCTCATGCCACATTATTATAAAAAAATCTGTAGATATAAATATGTAAATTTTTAATATTATTGAAAATATTATTGAAAACACAATTACCATTTCTGTAATATATACTCAGAAAATAGTACAAGTTACAACTGTATTCGTTAGTACCACTACCAGAGATCCAAAGTCCCAAATTTTTATGAGTTCAAATATCACAATTACAAAAACAACCCCACTACGTAGCTCAAAACCTTACGGCTCGAGTGGCCCAAATTTGCTTTTCATCTCAACTTTTGTTGTGTTCAATCTCTCTTCGTCGTCCACCTTCCTCCTTCCTTCTTTGCTTTTGACTCTCTCTCTCTCTCCTCTTTGTTCTCTTTCTCTACATGCCATCATTTACTCCTCTTTATTCCCAAACTTAAAAACAGGGAATTTTCAAAACCACCACCATCACACAGAGCTTCATTTCTCTTCCTCATTCTTCACTTGGTTATGACCCTCTCAAAGCTTCATCTTCCTCAAGATCACTCATCAATGGCTGTTAGTAATGAAATCATCACAAACGTCTCTTTTGATTCAAAAAAATTAGAAATTTTTACTTTGATTATAATAATTTTGACTTATCCCTTGTTTCTTTGACTTGATTGTATTTAATTTTTTGACATTTTCTTTCAGTTTCATTGTATGGGTTTTCAATTCTCTGTTCTAAAAGTTGAATTGTTGAAAAATTTGAATGATTTTGAGTTAAGTTTCAACCTTTTGCACTCCAAATGTTTGTGGTTTTGACTAACTGGGATGACTAACAAACCCTAGTGTTCAATTTGATGCTAACACTTACAGAGTAGTTTTCATGGAAGGTGGGTCATCATATTTTCCAAAGAATGCCCATGAACACTAAAGTTACAAATCATTAGATTATTTACCTCCAACCCAGATCCAGATATATGAAGTAAGAATTTTCACAGAAAGCAACAAAACTTAGCAAGAATTTTCCTCCTTTATTTCCTTTCTCTTTTTTTCTTCTCTCTTCCTCCTCTCTTTCTCTCACTTGTTCTCAAACCAGTTTCAAAGAAGAAGAAGAAGAAGAAGAAAAAGAAAAGAAAAGAAAAATTCAAAACGATGCCGTTTTGAAATTTCGAGCCACTCGAGCCGTAGGAATCTCGAACTACGAAGCATTTTTTATTACAAAAATTTTGTTCTTGTTAAAATGATTGTACATAATAAGATTTGATTTGATTTAATTATTAGGAATGAATGAATCTTTGGGTAGGTGACAGATCCAACAAATAAAAGGAAAATATTTGGTGGCTCGAATGGCTCAAAACGACGTCGTTTTACACCAAAAACAACGTTGTTTTGGGTGTTTCAAGCCATTCGAGCAATGATTATTCGGGCCACCTATCGTTATTGTAAAATCACAATATTTAACAAGGTCAGTCTATTATGTATTATATTCTTGTCGTTTCAAAATAATGGTTATTTTTGAAGAATTCAAATTCGTTTGATAATACAATTATTATATTTTAAAAAAATTAATTTTTCAAAATTATCCTTTGATAGTATATTTTTTAAAAAATATCAATTGTTATAATTATATATTTATATTATTAATGAATTTAAAAGAAAGGTAAAACAGTAAATTCATATGATTTTATTCCTTAATTTTTAAAAAGAGACTAATATTTTGAGACAATAAAAAATAAAGTAAATGACTAATATTTTGAGACAAAAGGAATATATAAACATAAATTATTAAAAATATCAGATTTTACTTGATCATGTCTTACTTTGGCCTATAAAATTTTAGTTTTGACACTGAATAAAATTTGAATCTTATTTCCAGTAATTCTTAATTTTTTGAAGGGAGTTTTTTTGATAAATTCACTTTCTAAGAGCTTTATTCCATCAAATTCATATTCTTTTTGACTATTCTATTAGGTCCTATTTTAGATAAGAAGACAAAAATACCCTTTTCATCTAGTTATGTTCCATTTAGTTCACATTATTTTCTTATGTTTCAATAAGTCCTATGGGTGACATAATTATCAAAATACCCCTAATGTGAATGTTCACACCGTCAATGTGAATGTTCATATCGTCAATGTGTAGGGGCTCGGCCCATGTCGATCCTCGTGGGTGTCCAAAAAAATTCGAGTCGGGCCGGGGCAGGCCCGACCCGTTGACAATGTGAATATTCACATTGACATGTTAACATTCACATTGATAGGAGTGTAAAATTAGCTAGCGGCCCAGGGCGGGCCCGATCCCGTCCATTGACAATGTGAATATTCACATTAACATGTTAACATTTACATTGATAAAAGTGTAAAATTGGCCCGTAGCCCGTGGGCGGCACGAAGCTCGACCACAGCTCGAGGCGGGCTTAGCCCGACCCGTGACATTGTGAATATTCACATTGACATATTAACATTAATATTGATAGGAGTGTAAAATTTACTCGCTGCCTGAAGCTTGCCCGCGGCCCAGAGTAGGCCTGGGCCGGCCCGGGCTCGAGCCTAGTATGAGATCCTAGGTTAGGGCCTGGGCATCACTTTGAAGCCCGGCCCGACCCATCAGCCTGGTTAAAGCCTATTCAAGGCTCGGTCCGAGGCCCAGCCCATGCCGAGGCCTAGTGTTTTTTTTTGTGGAAAATAATAAAATTTTGGTAGAAAAAATTAAAAAGAAGACCCGTGACATTGTGAATATTCACATTGACATATTAACATTAATATTGATAGGAGTGTAAAATTTACCCGCTGCCTGAAGCTTGCCCGCGGCCCAGAGTAGGCCCGGGCCGGCCCGGGCTCGAGCCTAGTATGAGATCCTAGGTTAGGGCCTGGGCATCACTTTGAAGCTCGGCCCGACCCATCAGCCTGGTTAAAGCCTATTCAAGGCTCGGTCCGAGGCCCAGCCCGTGCCGAGGCTTAGTGTTTTTTTTTGTGGAAAATAATAAAATTTTGGTAGAAAAAATTAAAAAGAATTAAAAAAAAATAGCCAGACTCGCCCAAGCTTGACCCAAGCCTGAGGCTAGGCTCAGGCCCATCGGCCCGACCCGAGGCTCGACCCAACGGCTCGGGCCTGGACCCAAACGAGCCTGCCCGGGACCGTGGGCAGGCTTCGGGCAGCCCACGGGCCGCGGGCCAATTCTATATTCCTATCAATGTGCATGTAACATGTCAATGTGAATATTCATATTGTCAACGGGTCGAGTTGGGCCCACCCCGGGCCGCGGACAAGCTTCGAGGATCGGGCAAATTTTACACTTCTATCAATGTTAATGTTAACATGTCAATGTGAATATTTATAATGTCACGGGTCGGCCCAAGCCCGCCTCAGGCTGCAGTCGGGCTTCGGGCCGCCCATGGGCTGCGGCCCAATTTTATACTCTTATCAATGTTAATGTTAATATGTCAATGTGAATATTCACATTATTAATGGCCGGGTTGGGCCAGCCCTGGGTCGCTGGCCAATTTTATACTCTTATCAATGTGAATGTTAACATGTCAATGTGAATATTCACATTGTTAACAGGCTGAGCCGGCCAGGCCCGCCCCGGGCCGTCCACGGCCGTGGGTAGGTTTTGGGCAGTTACGGGGCGCGGGCTAATTTTACACTCTTATCAATGTGAATGTTAACATGTCAATGTGAATATTCACATTGTCAACGGGCCAGGCCGGACTCGCCCCGGGCCGTGGGCCAATTTTATACTCTTATCAATGTGAATATTTACATCGTCAACGGGCCGGACCGGGCCGCCCATGGGCCGCGGGCGGGTTTCGCCCCGTCACGGGACGCGGGTCAATTTTACACTCCTATTAATGTGAATGTTAACATGTCAATATGAATATTCACATTGTCAACGGGTCGGGCTCGCCCCGGCTCACGAGCGGGTTTTGGGTCGCCTACGGGCCAATTTTACATTCCTACCAATGTGAATTTAAAAATATGAATGTTCACATTATAAAATTGCTAACCGTTCAAAATTTTTTTATAAATGTATCAAAATTAAATACAAGGGTATAAGTGTCCAAAAAAATAATGTAAATCAAGAAAAAAGACTTTATGGAATAAAACTATACATACATGGGACTAAATGAGTTAAAAAATTCTTTCATGAACTTCTTGGATTAAAACACTTCTAAATGAGATTTATCAATAAAATTTTTACTTATTTTTAATTAAAGGATTGAATGATATTTTATTAAATAAAAATAAAATTTAAAAGTATTTTTCGTAAATTTTTTGTCCAACCTTAAAAAAGACAATGCTACGTAGCTCAAATTTTGTGGCTCAAAAGTGGCTCAAAAGTGGCTCAAATGGTCATAACGACGTCGTTTTGAGTACAGAACAACATAAAAATGGCCAAAACGACGTCGTTTTGAGTACAGAACAACATAAAAATAATCAAAACGACATCGTTTTAACCATTTGAATCACTTTTAAACCACAAAATTTGAGTTACGAGACAATTTCCTTAACAAATTGAATAGGGTTGGGTTGATCTAATCGAGCCGGTCCATCTCTCTCTCTCTCTCTGGGATATATGTAAAAGAGAGGCGAAGGAAAGTAGCAGCCATAGTAGTTTCTCTCTGAGCCTTATTCCACGACTCAAAAATGTCTCGACGGGAGGCTCGAGAATCTGACTCCAAACGCCACCGTTCCAAGTTCGACCGTGAACCCAGGTCTCTCTCTCTCTCTCTCGATCCAATTAGTCTTTGTTTTACATTTTATTGTTGTGTTTTATATTTGCCCAAAGTTCAAGAACAGGAAATAATGGACTGGTATGTTCGTATATATGTATTCTCTGTATCGTCTGATAGATACAGATATACATTCGGTTTTAATTCGAAATGGGTATTTGATGGATCAAATTTTTAACCTAGTTTGTAAATTTTATCTTCTGATTATCAATTTGGAATGTTTGAATGGAGAAGTATGGAGTCACATACAAGTTAGGGTTATATAGATGTATACACTCACATATGTGTGTTTGTTTATGCTTGTGCTTAAAGTCCAAAAAAATGAATTTTTTTTGGGTTACTTCATTGCTTGAGTGATAATTGTTAAATTGAAGTTTACTATCTAAAAGGGCAATGGAGGGGCTTGCAGATCTATTGGATGAACAATTGAACATACCTCAGGGTTTAGTTGAGTACAAGGAAGCACGGGTACGGGTACGGGTACGCCGATTTGGCAAAACTCAAAAAAAGTATGATACGGGTACGGCTGCAGTATGTCGATTTTTTTTTTTGAAATATAATTATGATTAAAGGATCCAACCTACAAATTAAAATTAAATATCAAAACTAAAAAAAGAATTACTCATTTTCTTATAATTTAAAACCATTAAGCGTTAAAAATAATATTTGTGAAATCTCTCACTTTGACATGCTATGCACAGTGAATTTGTGATCATAATTTATTTTAAAAATTTTTCTTTTTGCTTATCAATTTGCTATTTTTATAGGGTGATACCCAAAGAAATAACAGGAGACCAAAGAAAGATTTAAAATTAATTGCGAACAGTAAAGAAAAAAAATTCTCAATTGGGGCAGGTTGTCAATTGCAATTTGCATAATACATAAAATTGCATCATTCTCAACCACTACTAATCAACTAATACAGTATCAATTTTTAATGTTTTGTGCATAAACTTTAAAAGTTTGTTATGATTAAAGATTTTATAAATAAATTCTAGGAGGATCTGAAGCAAAAGCATAATGCATAGTCATACACAAAACTACCCTTTATAGGCATTGTTATTTTTTTTTGGTTCAAATTGCTTTTTAAAAACATCAAAATCATTTGCTGATATGCTTATACAATTTATATAGACAGACAAGACAACAGAGAAACATCAAAATTACTGATCTGCAAGGGCACCAAAAAAAAAATAAAAAAATAAAAAAAATTGCTGATCTGCAAGGGCAGAGAGAAAAAAAAAAAAAAAAAAGGCTCTGGCGTACCCACGGCGTACCCATAGCGTACCCATGCCGTACCCGAATGAACTAAACGTACCGGACCTTCTTTTGCCGTACCGGTACGCGTACCCGCACCCGGTAAGTACCCGGTACTCGTACGGCACTATTTTTAGAGTAACCGTGCTTCATAGGTTGAGTAATAGTTGATATGATTTGTTTTAATATTCATTCTGCCTACCTGTAATGTAATGTAGTTTTGTTGGAATCTAAGCACATTAATTCTACCCTATTAATGTCCATTAATTTTACTAATATTTTCTTTTATATAAACACATTTCAGGAAGACAAGTGGTACTGACAATGTGGTTTACGTTTTATTTTACTACTTGATGCTTATGACTCACTTAGCTCGATGTCGGTATAAAGGTTACCAGGATCGTTTAATGTACTTCTGTGAATATGGTACCAGCTTTAATTTCAGTTTGTTCTTGACTAGACTGAGAAAAGACAATCCTTTGCTACAAATAAGAGGAACCCCTATTCAATGTTGCATTTGAATCCTTTGTCAGGAACTAGAGGGAGAGAGGGAAACATTGTGTTCCGATCTTCGGTAAGCAGCCGAATGGTCATAATTATTTTATAAGTTAGATCTGCTGTAGGAAACATGTTACACTATGTTTTGATGTTCAACTAGGAACCAACTCGTAACATGTATAGTTTTTTAGGTTCATTCATGACTTTTTTAAGTTCACACAAATAAGTCATTCAAATACTTAATAGTATTTCTTTTTCTTTTTAATTTTTTTTATTAGGATATTTTCCAATTTAGCCTTCCTTATTCTATGATAAGAGTGGACATCCTTGTATCTCCACAACTTATGCTTATAGGAAGCATGATATTTGGCAGGATGTGTTCACCATTAGTGGCTTGGAAAACTCAAATTCATTGACCAGCTCAGGATATTGCTCTAGGGGTGACTGCCTTGTGTCAAAATGGATAAAACTAACTGTCATTATTCTTTTCCAGTGAATTGATTGCTTCATTGGAGTAATTTCTTCTAAGTTCATATTTGCATCAATAGGTTAATTTTAGGCCCTCGTAGTAAATGAGTTTTCATTTATTTTGTTTTGCAAAGCACTTTTAATTGTTATTTTTATTATCAGGTATTCTCAGGAAAAGATCATTAATTTTTAGGGTGAAGAATCTGCAAATTATGTTTTACATTCTGTTCATATTCATAACTTGTTAAAGTTTTCCATGCTCTCTGGTGGTTAACTTGAATGTTGTACTTTACGCTGAGCTGAAATGCTATATCTATGGCCTTAGTATCATGCGCAATCTGAGATGAGATCCAATATAATATGGCTTATATTTGCCTTTGAATGCTCCTAGTCCTAAGAGATCAAGAAGGGATGGAAAACCAGCCACTGAGAGGCCGTCTAGCAACCTTAATTTGGATGTTGGTGACCATTCAGACCGGGATCAGAAGCACCGTCGACGGCTGCAAGATGTTTTACCTCTTGAGGCCCCGCCAGCACTAGATTCTAAGGTAGAAACTGGGGCAGGGAACAAAGAAATTGACAAGAAAACCAATGGACAGCATGAAGGAACCAAAAATTCTTCCAATCCTACTGAAGCATCCCGGTCTCGATCGTATTTCCAGGTGTTGTGAATTTATGGATATCCTTACAAGAGGTCATTTAGTTTTCATTTTGACTTGTACAAAAGATTGTTTTCCTATATTATTTGCTGTTTGACTGTTTTATATTTCTTTTATATTTTTGAACTGATCTCAGGCTTTATACTAGCCTTTGAACCCCACAAGTTTCTGATGAGTTTTTCACTGCCTGCAAGAAATGAAACACCTTGTAAAGTAGCAGTTGCTGTTAATTTTACAGCTGAATGATCGTTATGACTTTCTATTTAGAAAGTAATAAATACTTAATTGTCCTATGACAGTATACTTGGCACCTATCATAGGACAGTAAATCAGCAGCGGCTCGATTTGGGTAATTTATGTCTCATTTCAGGGGCAGTATGGATAAGGGATATCATCACTTAACTTGTCAATTGCACGGATATGGATCATGGTTGGCCAGATGGGTAACATAGAAGTTGGTTGCTTTTTGTCCTTCTAAGTTTAGTGGGGTGAACCATGGAAGTATAGAAAATTAGGGCTATTACATTCAGGAGAAAGCTTTTCCTAAGATACAAAGATCTTGACCATGTGGCAGTTGCTCTTATAATTTCAATATAAGATCCCATGGTTCATAAGAGCATCCAATAAGGTTCATGTCTATGGAATATAACAATCATTTAATGTTTTAGATTTCTTCTGCTGACAATTATGGTCATTGTAAGCCTCATAGGCTGTGAATATTCTTGTTTTCTCTTCTAAAGACTTATCAGTTTTGTGATATAATTTTCAGTCTCAATCTTTTGTTACTCCTGAATATATGACATGGATCGGTTCCATACCCTAGTATTTATTTCCCACTGTTTCTCTTATTGTTTTTTCCCTTTCCCTTCCCTTATTCCATTAGTGTAGTCATCCTTTTTGTCCTTTGTTTCTCTTGCTTGTTAATACGGAGGACATTTGACTAATCTGGCAGTGATAGGAAAAATGCACGTGCACACAGCCACAGTGAGGTTCACTTCTTTATGTAGCCATACTTGTGAGAAGTTTTGGATGCAACTCGGCCTTGATAATGTCCTCATTTATTTGATTTATGCAATGCTTTTGAGTTATGGAAGTTTATGATTATATTCTTGTTGGTTTATGCAATCTTTGCTCAATTTAATTGATCCTGAAACAATTATGGGGAGTTTCTGTTAATACTCTTAGAGAAAGGAGGTGGGGGCGCATTCGACCCACTGGAGCACAAATTTAGACTTACTATTTATATAAATATGGATGCCTACACTAGGAGTGAAAGCAGGCAGATTTATTTATTTATGAAGTTAGTAACCAAGTGACTTTTATTGGACAAATGGTAAGGTGGCATAGTGGATAGTTATTGCAGCCATCTTTAGTTGTATACATGCAATCCTGAATAATTGCCTGAGCATCATTTCAGGTTAACTTAGAAAGGCCTTTTGTCTCATCTGAAAGATGGATAATTTTGTTAATTAACCAGTTAGTGGTTCTGTTGAGTTGATTGTTTGGTTCTTACTCAGTGTATGCAAAACTTTTTTTCTGGGCTGATGTTGCGGGATACTTGTTCGGCCCGGTGCCTTCCAGTGCCTCCTTGTATATAACAATCTTAGGCTTGCCTGTGCATGTCTTATACAGCACAATGAGCGTGGTAATGCCGGGCAAGCTGGTCGAACCACTAGTCGCGGAACAACTACTGGTGAGTACTTAACATTCTTTTTTTGTTTTTTTTTTTTGCTCGTGTTTTTACTTTTTTTGTTCAATAGTTTTATGTTAGTGTCCCACATCAAACTTCTATAATACACAATGTATTTTTGTGTGTATGAAAGTATGTGTGTGTGTGGGAGAGGGGAAGAAGGGGGAGGGGGGGCGAGGGGCAATATTGAAATGTTTTTGTATGGTTAGAACCGTTTTTATGTCAATGGCGTGACTTGCTTTTTCCTCTATGTGAAGAGCGTGGATGGAGGGACTCAAAGGATCAACATAGTGACAGGGCAACAGAGAAGACAACTCCTCGTGATACAGAGAAAAAAGATGAGAAATCCCAAGCTCGGGGCAGTGCCAATCGTGTTTGGCGCCATGACTATGAAGTAGAGGCAGGTCAACAACCACCGGTAAGGAAAAGACCTTCATTTAGAGAGAAAAAGATTGAAGTGAACTCTGAAAACACTGACAAAGTCAGAACTGAGCCTGTGAAGCCAAGCCGTCCTGATCGGCCTTTGTTAGAAAGCGAAAAAAGGGAAGAAAGAGGAGGCCACAACCCGCTAGAAAAGCCATTTGTAAGGGATGGGGAGGCAAACAGGGGAGAAGCACCGAGGGGTAGCTTTCCATCAAGAGATAGGTATGGTGGTAGTGGCAGTAGTTACAGGGGAAGAGAGAGATCCAATGGAGGGAGGCGAGGGTATCATCCGAGTGGTGGTGTACGTGTTGAGAAATGGAAACATGACCTGTATGAGGAGGCTAACAGGAGTCCAACCCCAAAGAATGAAGAGGATCAGATTGCAAAGGTTGAAGCACTCCTGTCTTCTTAGATATATATGCAAGTTGCTCTGAGGAGTTGTAGTCTGTTTGTCATCATTTGCATCGCTGCTGGTGTTTGTTTTCTGTTCTGCCAAAATGTTTTTGTTGATTTGAAGAAACACTGAACATGTTTGGTTATTGTTTCAACTTATGGCATTGTGTTATTGAGTCAAATCGAACTTTTTGATGTATTGTCATGGAATGGCAAGGATGCTTGTACTACATTTTGAATTCTAAATCCTGTTTTGAGTGAGTCTTTTTCTGCCTTTTCCAGCGTCCATTGTGGGCTTTGTTGAACTTCATCAGATAGAGTTTAAACTTGACTATGTGCATGCAAAAGTTCAGCTCAAAGCTATATAGATAGTAGATGGACAGTGTTATTATTATTATTATTACTATTATTATAGGCTAAAATTCATTTAGTCCCTATTGTTTCGCTTTTTGATTACTTTACCTCCTATGTTTTAAGTATACGCAGAATTTTTTTTTTATGATTTTGAACTAAATTCTTATTGTCAATTTTTTCGTTAAAAGTAATGAGGTATGTTAATCATGTTATTTGATTTTTATGATGTTTAAAATATTATTTGATAAATTATATTTTTTTATATACATGTTTTACAATTATTTGACACAAAATATGAAAATAGATTTCAGTTGCATCATATATTTTTTTTGTTGTGCTTAAATAGTAAATTTTATTATTCACATTTGGAAAAAATCAGTTGATTACTATTCGTTATTTGACAAATTTAATTTATCTTTGTTAGAATGTAACCAAAAATCTCTACAACAGTTATAAAGATTATAAAAAGGTATATATTATCAGACCTGATATAAATGTTATTTAAATAAATTTTATTATACACAGTGCTTCGCCCAGAAGATACCAACAATGCTTCGCCCAAAAGATTGGCCCAAAGGAGGAATTGAACTTGTGACTTTAGGGCTTAAACTCCAAGGTCTTACCACAATGCCACAACCCGTTGGGTTACATTCATGTATGTTAATAGATAAGTTATCATGCATAATTTGTTTTATATATTATACTATATTTATATATCAAACAGTGTTTTTAAATTTTACTTGTTAACAATTGAAATCTTCCACGTGAGCCAAGTCTTTTGTTTTCTTCAACAATTTCCTTCCATGTGATAAGGGAGTGTCTGCTTCCAACGGACACGATTTTCCGCATGAGTGGAGTGACACAAAGTTCGGAAAAAGAAGGAAGGAAGATGCGTTGTAAATCGCTACAACGGCTGATAAATCTCTACAACGGCTATTTTTCCTTGGCTATAAAAAGAAGCAATGTCCAAAAGAAATCAAAAACATATAGTGAAGTGAAACATTGAAAACAAAGTTTTGTTATATTGGAAAGATATTTTTGTGTTTTTTATTGAGTTATATAAATTGATTGAGAATTTGAGCAAAAATTATAAAAGAGTTTTCACACTCTTTTTATTATTCTTGTAAAAGAGAGAGTTTTTGTGAGTGATTGTTTTAAATAAAATCGCATGGGTTATATTGAGAAAATAAAGCTTTGTTATATTGAGTGAAGTGAAACATTGAAGATAAAATTTTTTATATTAAGAAAATATTATCGTGTTTTTTATTGAGTTACATAAATTTATAGAAAATTTGAGCAAAAATTGTAAAAGAGTTTTCACATTCTTCTTATTATTTTTGTAAAAGAGAGTTTTTGTGAGCGGTTTTTTTTTGGATAAAATCACTTGAATTAAGTATCGGATTCAAAACTAGTCGGGTTATTTTTGTGAGTGATTGGATTTGATTACTTGTTGTAGAGAGGTTCACTACTATCCGTGAAGCTATTGGTGTAATTATTATTTGAAGAATCATAGAGAAATTCTCGAGGAAGATACTTGAAGAGTGGACGTAAGTTTGGTGTGCTGAACCACTATAAATCTCTGAGTTTGCTTCTCTTTCCTTTACTCATTTTATTTCATTTATCTATTTTATATTGTTTAGCATATTTATTTATTTATTATTTGGGTTAATATTTTTATTTTGACAATTTATTTAGGAATCCAATTCACCTCCCTTTTGGATTGATTAGCTAGGATAATAATTGGTATCAAAGCTTGAACTCTTATATTTGATTTAACCATCTAAGGCCTCGTTTGGCAACCTTCTTTTTTAGTCAAAAAGTTAAAAAGTTACTAAATTAGCAAAAAAGCCAACAACCCGTACAAAAAAGTTAAAGATTCTCTTTTCTCTCTACTTTTTGCACATTTTTTTCGTAAAAAGCCAAAAAGTCATCCCAAATATACTAGTTTTTTTAGCTCATATTTTAGCCAAATAGTCAAAAAGTTACTAAATTAGCCTGTTCTCAAACGAGACCTAAGAGTAGATCATGACAACCAATTTTTGTGCTTCTTTTGCTGAAGGTCAATTGCCTTCTAGACCGCCTTTTTTTAATGGCTCAAATTATATTTTCTGGAAAATAAGAATGAAAATTTTCATTCAATCCTTAAATTATGAGCTATGGAGAATTATAGTCAATGGTCATAAGATACCTTCCAAGACCATCCAAGGACGAATCTTGCCCAAGGAAGAATATGAATGGGACAATAATGATTTGAGAAATATTCAAATGAATGCCAAGGCTATGAATCTCTTATTTTGCGCTTTAGATTTTAATGAGTTTAAAATAATCTCTACATGTGAGTCAGCCAAGGAAATTTGGGATAAATTAGAGATCATACATGAAGGGACCAACCATGTTAAAGAATCTAAAATTAGTATGTTGATTCATGATTATGAACTTTTTAAGATGAAATCCCATGAGTCTATTTCTGAAATGTTTTATAGATTTACTAGCATTATTAATGTTCTAAAATCTCTTGGTAAAATATATACTAATGCTGAAATGGTAAGAAAAGTACTTAGGTCATTACCTAAAAGTTGGGAGATAAAAGTCATTGCAATCACAGAAGCTAATGACTTATCAAAGCTAAGTCTAGATGAACTGATAGGATCTCTTCTCACACACGAGCTGATTAAGAAAGAAGGGGATAAAGAAGAAGACAACAAGAGAAAAAAGGAAATAACTTTCAAAACAACTGCTACTCGTGAAGAGGAAGAGGAAGATGAAGATAATTCAAAATTTGATGATGAAGAAATAGCCTTCTTTAGAAGGAGGTTTCAGAAATTTATAAAGAAAGAACAAAGAGATTTTATCAAAGGAGAATATAGTAAAAAATATTTTGTAAAAGGAGCAAATAACAAGAAAACTAAAATCATTTGCTATGAATATAACAAGTCCAATCAAATCAAGACCGATTGTTCGAAAATCAAGAAACAATACAAGAAAAACAAAAAATCAACTATGATTGCTGCATGGAGAGATAGCGAAGAAAGTGACTCAAAAAATAATGACAGCAGCAATGAAGTTGCCAATCTATGCCTAACGGCATTTGGAGATGATGACGAGGTAAACAAAGAGTCTTATTCCTTTGATGAATTACAATCCGCATTTGAAGAATTGTATGATGAATTTCAAAAACTTAGAATTAAAAATATTATGATTAAAAAATTGCTTTCAAGTTTAACAAAAGAAAATGAATATTTATATAATAAAATTGAAATATTACAAAAAGAATGATATTTTAAAATCAAAAGAATTTCCTATTTTTCAAAAAGAATTAAATGATTTCAATAAAATGATTCTTTAAAAAAGGATAAAGAGTTGTTTTAAACAAAAATATAGAAGTTTTTTAAAATATTTTTTCAAAATTTGTTTAAAAAATACACTTTAGATAAACTTTTTAAAAGTAAAAATTATACATATAGTAGAATCAAAATTGGATATAAATTTCTTCCGAAAACAAACTTTTAAAAATAATTTTATTCATGTATCTTTCAAACAAAAAATTATTTAGTACTCTCCAAGGACACGTCATCCATCAGGTGGTGCTCCACACAAAAGCTTAATGTAAGTGAGCTGCCACATAAGCATTGAGCGACCATTTTAGTCTTCAATAAATTTCAAATTCCCGCTGCAAATCCAAATTTTAAGATTTAAAGTGTGTTTGGTTTAAATTTTTTAGATTAAATTTTTTTAAAATTGAGTTTTTATTTTTATTTTTATTGAATATTTTTTAATTTTTTTAGTTACACCATAGATATATTTAAAAATTAAAAATTTGTGAAAAAATATTTTAAAAAATTAATAAATATATAAAAATACGAAAAATATATTAAATTCTCATATATTTTTTTTTTATATTTTTGATATTTAATAAATTTTTAAAATATTTTTTTTACAAAAATTATACTTTTTATGTATATTTATGTTAGGTGTGTCTAAAAATTAAAAAAATTACTAAAAATATTAAAAAAATTCAATAAAAATAAAATAAAATAAAAAAATAGAATTTTTTTTAAAATATTTTCCGAAAACCAAAAACAAATAAATTTTTTGGAATTTGAAAGACAACATGGATCTGAACAAATTCCTCTCTCTCTCTCTCTCTCTCTGCTATTCATTCTTTCGTCACTCATAGCACCACCGAAGGCCATTGCCGGTGCTGTTGCCAACACCGCCGCTTTGGTGACCACCGGCCCCAATCACCACCATCAACATGTTCACCGACGATGAACTCTCTGTGTGTTTTCTTCTTCCAACTGTATTTCTCCCTCCCTCCATTATTATGTATTTTTTTCTATATTCATTACACCAACAGGTGCAAGACCACCATCAAGCTACCATCCATCCAGTACTACGCTTCCCCCTCCGATGTGAATCGTAGTCCACCAGCAGCACCACCGCGACCACTGCCGTGCACCAGCATCTCAGTAGCAGTAGCAACTTCCCCGGGTGTCAACCACAATTGCTGCTTCATTTTTGCTTAAATTTGGTAACAAAAACATGGATTTATTCCACCTGCATCCTGGACTGTGTTTTGTTCACCATCTGTTTGTATAAATGCTTAGAAGAATGTTTTTCTCTCACATCCCCAAATATAGCTAGGCCAAATTAATTATCCATTGCCACATTGAACATTTGGGTGATGTACTTTGCTACCACTGCTGCTTGGGGCAAGAGGTTGCAAGGAAGGAAATCATGCTCAATAATTTCCTGAGACTAGGGAGATGTGCAAGCAGAGGAACTTCCAGAGTATCAAATGCAGCACAAAAATGTGAATAATAATGCAAATTCTCATGGCGCTTATGTTCAATACAACGACAATTAATTTTGTTTCAACCATTTCATGTAAAATGTAATATTATATGATTAAATGGCGCTTGTAGTTATATTGTTTCTGTTGTAACATGTATGAGTTGATGAACAATTTTTAAGGAATTTTTGTAGCCAAGTGAGATGGATTGGATTATGGTATATACCTAAAATTATAAATGAAGATTTTGAAAATTTTTTTTTTGGTGTGTAATTAGGTACTAGATCTTCATGGAAACTCAGAATTGTAAGAATAAGTCTAAAGTTACTACTCTTACAGATTTTGTATTGACACATGAAATTTTCAATTACAAAATAAATTGCACAACAGTAAAGTCCTACAAATATGTCGCTTAAAATCTCCACAAATATATTGAATTATTATATTACTTGTGCTCCTAGAAGAGTGGCTTTGTTTGGTTGAACATAAAATGTGCACAATACTTTAAAATTTGGTTTGTGTTTGTTCAGTAATTTTTGAGATAAAAAGTACGAAAATTTATTTGGTTTGTCTTTTTTCAGAAATGATTTTGGAAAATTGTTTTGGGGAGAGAGTTTTAAAAAAAGTGATTAATTTGATGTGTATAGAGAGAGAGAGAGAGATTTTGAAAAGTAGGTAACCAAACAAAAATTTGAGATTTTTTTAAAAAAAATTTGTTTGATTTGATTAATTTTGAAAATATGTTTGAAGAGAATTTTTCCCAAATTTTTTTTTAAAAAAACAAACCAAAGAAGGCCTTTGTCAGAAAAGTTGCTTTTGACAAGTGAGTTGGAAGTAATTTGAGACTAAAAATATACAAAAAAGATATTTATTTTATTTTTCATTATCCCAAAATATTAGTCTATTTTTAAAAATTAAGTACAAAAATAATATGAATTTTTTTATTTTGTCATTCTTTTAAATTTATTAACAGTATAAAAAGTATAATTATGATATTAATATTCTCCAAAAAATATATCAAAGGGTAATTTTAAAAAATTAATTTTTTTAAAGTACAATAATTGTACTATCAAAAACAAGTTGAATTTTTCAAAAAGGACTATTATTTTGGAACGGAGGGAGTAAAATAGATTAAATAAATTAATAAGATAAAATATCACATTCAAATCATAATTATTTTAATTTTTTTTCACAAAAAATAAAAAAAAGTAAAAAAGTTCTTTCTAAAAAGCTAATTTAGCCCAAAAAACTAAAAACAATATACAAATTCTTGCCAAATGAACTCTAAATACCTTTTGTTAGTTAAAGATGCACTAGCAAAAGTATAAGGAACAAAATAAAGAGTGTTAAAATATTAAATTTGTAATTTGACTGGATAAAACGCTTATCAAGTACAATACAAAAACCTATTGAAACATTGAATTTGTAATCCAGTTGAGTAAAATGCATACAAAATACAATACAAAAAAGTCTTTTGAAGTGGTTTTAAGCATTTTTTTCTTCGGTGGTGTTACATGCATCAGTTAATATATACACTAATGTATCAACCACTATTATATCATTATTATTGATATCACCTATTATACAAATTACAAATACTTAAAAATTCTAAAATTATGTCACATCATCTATTAGTATACTAATTAATGTATTAGTACATATAGCATTATTCTTTTTTCTTTCAATGAATAATTAATATCTATTTATATAAAATAAAAAATGCCTTAAATATATGCTGAATCTTTTTAATATATAGACATAGATATAGATAAGGGCACTTCAATTTCTAAATAGAAGCAACAGTGAACCTACATTATACACAATTCAAGATTCACGAACAAGGGAAAGCAATTGTTTTTCAAATTCTTGTTCCTAACGAAGCAAAAGAAGGAAAAAAAAAAAGAAAACAAAAAAAAAAAGAAAATTGTGTCTCTAAGTCCTTATAGATATCTACTTCAAGCTGTAAATTACAATTCGAAAATGTTGATAGGATTAGAAATAATGCAAATCCATTGACCAGCTTTAGCTGGAGGAAAAGTTTGTTCTTCTTTATCAAGTATGGGTCTTGCCAAAATTAAATGAAGTGTCATCGGACAAATATGAAAATACACAATAATATTTGGGGTCATGTGAGTGAAAAACATTCTATTAAACATTTACACGAACATATGGTGAACAAAGTCCATACAAGCAAAAGAAATTTCAAGTTTACTACAACATTCAAGAAATTATAAGCAAAAATTATGATTGATACCTGGAGAAATTGTTGGTTCTATTGCCAATCAATGTGGTAGCAATGGACGGGAGTTGTCGCGGTGTTGCTGCCGGTGGACAACATGAAACATAATAGTGGTCTAGACGGTGACAGTGTGATGGTGGTGGTTGGGGCCAATGGTCAGAGGTGGTGTTTGCAATGGTGCCAGCAATGGCCTTCGGAGGTGCTATGAGTGATGGTGGTGATTGGAGCCGGTGGTCACCAAAGCGGCTGTGTTTGCAACGGTATAGGCAATGGCATTCGGTGGTGCTATGAGTGATGAACAATTTGTAGTGAGAGAAAGAACAAATGCACCTGCTCATGGTGTTTTCCATTCCCACCCGACCCCTCTGCAGCGTATTGACCCTTAGGGTTGGCCACAGTTTGACTCGGTAATTTTTCCTCTTCTCTCTTATTCACATTGTTAGCCATTTGACCTAATTGGGCCTCTAGCTTGGCAATGGAGTAAGTGTGGGAGTGAACTACTGGTGCTAACCCCTTAAGTTCTGAGAGAACTTCTAACACCTGAGTCTCAAAGGTAGAGTTGCCTTGAGGGACAGGTAGGGGTTGTGGTTGCCGGTAAGGTTGTGGGGGTCAGTAAGGTTGTGGTGGTTGGTAGGAAGATTGGTTGGCAAAATTATTGAAATTCTGCCTTGGTGGTGGAGGGTTGTAAGAAGTGCCTTGTGAAGGAGGTCTCCACGAAAAATTAGGGTGATTTCTCCATTCTGGATTGTATGTGTTGGAGTATGGGTCATGACCCGGGTTGGAGAATCCTTGAGCCGCATTCATATGCTCTTAGATTAACTCCGGAAATTGTGATGCCGAAGGGCAATTACTCAAGTCATGAGCAGGACTTGCACAAATAACATATGCCTCGTGAAATTGAGGTTGATCTTGCTGTGCAGGGGCATGTCCCGTAGCTAATAATTGGTCCATTTTGTGGGATAGTGCCTCTACTTGTTGGGCTAACTCTAGGTTTTGCCCGACCTCATAAATGCCCCCTTTCTTTGGGGCTCCAACGACTGGTTGCTGGACTTGCCGGGCTGCGGAGGCATGGTGAAGGGAATTTCACTTAGGCATGGTGAAGGTCACGAAGTTTTTCCTACGTCTCATGAAATTGCTCGCCATCAATTTGAGCAAAATTGGTGATGGCTTGCCTAAGTTGGTTGGTTTTACCGATGGGAAAGTACTTCTCCCAGAACTGTTGCTGTAATTGGTCCCAAGTTGTGATTAAATTAGCAGGTATGGAGTTCAGCCAGTGTTTGGCTTTGTCCTTTAACGAGAATGGAAACAATCGCAACATTAAGGCCTCATTTGTGAAATTCTAAATCCTCACTATAGAGCAAATTTCTAGAAATTCATTCAAATATTTATAAGGATCATCATGAGCTAGTCCATGGAATGATGGGAGCATTTGTATGGTGCTAGACTTAATCACATAATGAGCAACAGTGGTGTCGGATAATTGGATGCATGATGGTGCTGTATAAGCAGTGGGTGTGAAATAATCCTTAAGGGTCCGGTTGGGCCCGTTCGGGATATTTGAATTTTCCATCTCTAATGGTTCAAAATATGGATAAGAATATTGAAGCCTAGGAACATAGGCAGAGGCTTTAAGTCTCCTAAGAATCCTTTCTAGTTTAAAGTCCAAACTCAATAATCCAGGGCGACAAGAACGGCGCCCGTGTATACACTACTCACACACACACACACACACACACACACACACACACAAAGTCCCGACTCTATGCACTAAGTATGAAAGCAAAATACCAAAGAGAGAAATACTCACAGTGATTTAACGAAAACGCTTTACTCGTCTTGCGGGTGCTTGACGTGTAGACGTTGTCTCTAACCTCCAATTGAGCTTTGTCTTTTTTCTTAGCACTTTGGTGCTTTGCTTGCGAGTATTTGCTTCAGTTTTTTATTTTCGCACTTTGGTGTTGCGGTATTTTTGTTTAAAAACTTGGCTGCACTTCGCTTGCACTCTAGTGATGGTTTCAATTACAAATACTCTGCACACTTAGCAACACGAAAGCATAATATCTTAAACTAAAAATTGAAATAAGAATGTAACTTTAAATTAATTAATTTCCCCAGAAGTCCCCGGTAACGGCGCCAAAATTTTGATGGGTCGTTACACACACAAAAAATAAACACTAAACTATACCAAATTCTTTTAGAATAATGGCAAGTCCATGTATCGATTCACAGGGACAATTGAGAAATTAGTCTAATTTAATCGCTAAATTTCTAAATTAATTTTGATCAAAAAGATAAGATTGATTTTATGACTAAATAGGAATTAAATGAAATTGAAGAATTAAATTGACAATTAAAATTAGGGTTTGAGATATTAATTTTTGGAAAAAATCCTAGGCAAAGAATTCACCACTAACCACATGAATGAGACTTAACATTGGCCAACAATTACAATTCGGTTTGAACTACCCAATATTTCATAACTACAAGTTTGAAATATTGATCAAGAGAGTTGTCGCATTTAACGTACAAGCACGAATCATCCTAAGTAGTAGGAGGCGTTTGCTCTAAACTAGGGTAGCAATATGACCCGTCTCTTGTAGCATTACTCATCTCGTACTTTGAATATAAACACAAAGAAAACTAATGTATGGAAAGCATTAAACAATCACAGAGAGTAAATATTTGAAGAGATGAAAGAAACAATTATTAAAAACTTCTAAATCATTCATACATTGATTCAAACCAATTCACTATTAAAGCTTATGAAAAATCCTATTACATGGCTAGGGTTTCATCAAAATCTTAGAAAAAGAAGACTAGCCACTCATGGAGGAGTGGGAAGAGGAAGAAGATGAGGAGGAAACCCCCATGGAAGTGCCTGTGATAACCTTGGTCCGTATTATGCTAATTAATCTTCATTATGATTGTGATTATGCGTTTGATATGATTTTGTGTGCCATTTATATGAATATATGTGGTTTTGAATTTCTATCTATTCACCATAGGAATATCTGTTCAACTTACTA